TTCAGTACACAACCATAGACCCATAGAACATCTTGAGTTGGAAGAGGGCACAAGGATCATGAAGTCAGATTCTTAATTAGCCTTTGGAAAGAGGAGCCTCTTTCTACTTCCCCATTATCCTCATGTAATTGAGCTCCAGGCCCAAACCATTCATGGATGAGTTCCAGACCTTTCCTCAGTCTTCCCACACAAGAACAAAAGCAATTCCATTTCTGGACAAAACAGGAACCTTTATTAATCCCTGTGGCCATTGTCCCCTTACACATTTACATTGATGCTACTGTATAAGCTAAAGCACTTTTCCATAAATGTTAATCTTTAAACTGTTTTCAGCATAAAGCTTTCCAAGAGCAGCATGCACTACTAACTCTGAGCCTGGTTTGAACATTCGGGTAGAAGTCACACGAAAGCTTTACAACAAATGCACAGGATATTCTGTGATGTTCTGCATCATCTTCACCAGCTTCAGAAGTTCTCTCTGTTGAAACAAACACAACTGGTTTAGTAATACAGTGGCCAATAAAACAGATATGATACAGCTGAAATTCCAGCCTGCTGTGTCCAAAAGGCTCCTTTAAAAGGTTCTGAGGTGGCAGCAAGAATTGAAATGTGCATTCACATCTTACCCATCCTAGACTGTGAGGGTCACTCTCCAGGATATTTCAGCCAAGTGATGCTGTACCCAGCAATGAACACAAAGCCATGTGTCCTATGGCCCTTGTCTGTAACACAAACATGAACTGTGATTCTTGTATGGCAGTAAAAACAGCACTCTGTCTCTGTAAGGAGGTATAAGGTACTCTACCTTGAAGCAATTAAAATGATCCAAGTGGTCTCAAAATCCAAGGACAAAGCTGTTTCCTTCATTGTCTCCTGGTGGAAATACTGGATTTTGTAACATTAAAGAAGGGTGTGCCAAACTGTCTGTGAAAGGAGAGGTGAGCAATAGGAACTCCTGCCATCAGAGAGCAGACCCAGTGCTGCAGAGGACTGAGTCCTGCCCCTCCAGATGGGCACAGCCTGCCCAGCAGCCTCCTGCCTCCCCAGGTGCTGGCCCTGCTCCAGCCCAGGGAGATTCTGCTGTCAGCACAGACCCCCAGAGCAGTGCTGTCCTGACAGCTGAAGGACAGCTCATCTTTCTCAGGTGTCCTGCTCCACAGCCCTCTCCTCAGCTCAAGGCACCACCATTCCCTGCTCCCTTTGGAGAAAGTCTTGAAATCCACCTGTGTTCCAGCACTGCCAGGAAGGATGCCCAAAGGCTCCCACTGCAGCAGGAAAGCACAGCAGACATACAGGCAGGATCAAGAAGCACTCAGGAGCTTCATGTACTTATGAAAGTCTGGTTCTGTGACTGCTTTGGTGACACAGCACCAAACCCAGGCACCAGGGAAGTGGTGCAAAAGGAGAGAAGAAGGAAAAGGTGCTGCCCTTTAGCAGCAGCCTGCACTTCAGTTATCTGGAAGTGGAAGCTCAGCTTCACACAGCTGGTCTCAGCCACATTGTGCAGTGCCCCTGGTGAGTCCAGAAAGGGCAGCAAGGGTGATCATGTGAGGGATTACTCTACAAAGACATTTGTTTCTTGCCTGAAAAATACAGGAACAGTGTGTGATTTAAGAAGAACCCATAAAGGCAGATGCAGAGAATTGCCTTTGTCAGCAGCCAGGGTAACTTCACATGGCATTGACCCATGGATACTCCAGTCAGAAACCAACCCTAGTGTGACCTTAAACCTTTCAGTCTCACCCTTCCATACACTTGAAACACCAAATACCAGGGTGCATTGTATGACAGGCACTTTCCTCACTCACCCATTCACGTGCCCCCATAATTCCCTGGCCACTCCTATACCTGCTCTGGCTTAATGCTTATGTTGTCTTGTTCCACAGGGACTAAACATATTGATTATACACTGCTGTTCACTGTCATGTTCAAGTGCATCTAAAACATTTACAATGGATTCTCATTATACATTTTCATTAGTGTGACAGTTCAGGGTTTACCCTGAAGAAGTGTCTTTGTGCCATCTGCTCCTTGCAGGAAAGGAACAAGCATGTGTGTGCTAGGAGCCTCCCAGCTGCCACATGTGGTGCAGCCCCAGGCAGGCCCTGGCAAACAGGACAAGCTTTAAGCCCTGAGCCCTGCTGGGATATAGCTCCCATCAGGTTTGTTATTATTTGAATTTGTTACTGCTGTAGAGATAAAACTTCTCAACATGTATAGCTTTTATCCAGATTCACACCCAACACCAGTCAAGCTCAAGGCCTAAAAAAAGTAAAAACAGACTTAGGTAATAAAGTACTAGCCTAAGTGCTGACTGCAGAGCTGGAACAAAGCTACTGAACAAACCCCAGCCACAAAAGCTTGGGGACAGAGAGCCTGGGGACAGGCATCTTGGCAAAAGGAAGGTTGGACAGCAGATCCCTGGAGGCAAAGGGCACTTCGTACTGAGGAACAATCACAGATTCTCCAAGCTTCAGTGACAGAAACCTTCAAACAGGCAGCCTTCTACGTTTCACCAGTCCAGCATAATTCAGGGTGACTTAGCAGGTCCCAAAGACCAAAGAACTTATTTTCCATTCATCAAGCCAAAAAAAGATGGTTTTATAGATTTGCTTAAGACCAGAAAGAACCATTATTAACTTTTGGAATAATCCTTGTCACACATAGGCAGATTATTTTTCTTTTGGAAGCAGTCGTTAAAATACCTCATGGTCAGTAATATTAAAAACACCTACATTTTTAAATAACTGAAGGATTTTGCTGGTAGGAAGAGTGACAGATCCCAAAGGGAGGCAGTGGCATCACAAGGGATCAAAGAAGCAGCCTACCGTTGTAATATACCGGGAATGGAACTCCGGAGCGTCCTTCAGGAACGTGAGGCCAGGATGAGTTTCTACCACATCCTGCAAGGTAAGAGAAAATGAAATGAAATAGATTTTCTTCTCCTTTTAATGCTTAGCAGTTACTGGGTTTATAAACCAATACTTTTACTTTTGAAACTATTTGCAGCATAAACAATAACACTGAAATCTTTTAATCTACAAGAGAACCTTCTATTACAGTAATAGAATGCATTTACTGGGCAATACGCACCTGGTGGGCCAGTTTGATTTACTTAAGGACAGAAAAACAAAGGAAGAGAGTTAGTGAGTAGATGAAAACTCATTTTCATTGAATGAGACAGAAATTAATTAGTTGACCATGCAACTATCTCTTCTCCACGATTTTTGTTTTCCTCCATTCATTGAAGATATTAACATTTGTTAGAACTAGGTGTCAGAAATAAAGATTCCTTGAGGAAGTCTCCTATGTGCAATGAAAGATGTGTGAGCCTCAAAATGCTTACAGATACGATTTGTGCTTTTCCAAAATTCACTCCGACTACCTGTGGAGCTGCCTCTTTCTCAAAAGCAGCTTTTTAAAAGTCAAACACTGGCTCACAATGCCAAATCTGCATGATCAAATCCATGAATAAACTGTTCAGATCCTGAATGAATCAGTTCAAATCCTGTATGAATCAATGCCTGTGTCATTTCTCCATGTCTAACTCCTCTACCCTTTAAAGGGGTTCCAAGTTTTGCTGTGCTTCTTCTATGCCATGGTGCCTTCAGGGTTGTGATATGCCCAAATTTTGGGCAGCATAACAGGATGTCTCAGATGGTGGCATAAATCAGGGTAATTTTGTTGATCTCTGGCTGACTAATAAGACAGGACTGTGCATGCCTTGGATTGCACCAGGAGCTAAAGAGCAGAGCTGCAATCCACAAGGAAAGGCAGTGTGCCCAGTGGAGAAGAGATGAAGAGAAACATGAGAAAATTTACCCATCACAGCCTTGGTTCTGTTTGAGACAGAAACAGCCAGCACAGACACAGAATCTTTCCCCAAAGCAGCATCTCCACAGAGGTTTTACCCAGAGGGCAGCACTGTGTGAGAAATCTAGGGATGTATGGAAAAGATCAGAAAAAGTGCAACTGCTGATCAGAGGAGCAGATGGATGTGATTTATAGACACTATAGAGAAGCCCTATCCAAAGTCTGCATAAATGGCCACAAATAAATAAAACTCTACTTTGTTAAAGTTAATGAAAGGGAAAGAAAGACATGAAATGAGGATGTGCAGATTTAGCCTGAATATTAGGGAAAAAATAAGCAGTGACATTTGTGCACTAGCAGATTTAGAGGCATGTACAGAACAATTGGAACTGCAGAAATTTTGCCAAGATTTCTATGTGATACCGTATCTGGTAGTCTGGCTAGACAAATTTAATTATAACTGTCTTGCCAAGCAACTTTTACAACTTTTCCAATAAGCTTTTATGTTGTGCTTGACTATCATCAGCAGCAAGTATTTTTCCCCGATATCCACATTGAGAAATGGGACAAATTGCAGCCTGCTTACCAGACACTGATAAACATGAATCCTGACAAGAGACCAGTCCTCAATGCCTTTAGCAGGATTTGCAGCAGCTGGTTTGGCACTTAAGCACTTCAAAAGCTTATTTCTATTTCACTCCAAAACGAACCCCACCCAGGTGCTGTTCAAACCAAAGGTCTGCTGGTCCTTGGTTAAACATTTAATGCCACGGAAACAAAGAAGGTGCCAAGTGAACGCAGCTCTGTGGCCGCCGTGCCTGCGGAGCTGTGGCAGTACCTGCAGCAGCGGGATGAAGTCCTCCTGTTGTAGGCAGTCACAGCCAGGCTTTGCCAGAAGGGAAGTGAACCTGGCGGCATCGTCGTGGCAGCTCCGCAGGATTCTGTGGGAGACAGGAGGAGTCACTCCCAGCCCTTTGCACCTCCCAGGAGCCCCGGGAGAGTCACAAAGGCCTTACAGCACATCGCATCTGTGCTGGGAGTCACTCAAATGCTGACCTCAGCCTGCCAGCACTTCCTTCAAGGTTTTCAGCTGCAGCAGGGCACCCAGCAGGGACTTTTTCCAGGTTAACACTGCTGTGGTAAAGCAGCTTTCTTACTAAGCACCTATGGAATCAGAGTAACCTGACTCTTACCAATGCTGCAGGCTCACTCCGAGTGAACAGCACCAGCCCAATGGGATGCCAACAGGATGTGCTCTCCGTGTAACCCTTCACTATACTGCAATATTTGGAGAAATTGAAAAACTACAGGAACTGAATATTCACCCAGAAAAATCACTTCTAGAAGGAAAAAAGGTCATCCCCTGTTAATTGTGGCCCATCTGGAGCTGTGCACCAAAGCCACAGAGAGCAGCCTAATGAAGGCATTAGTAGCACTGAGCATTTGAAAAAGTGTGTAACCTCAGTCCCCTCTGGTTGACAGTGTGCATCTAACACTATCTCTCTGTCTTCTTCTCGCACAAAATACTGCACTGGCAAAAGGTATCACAGTTATGTGATTCACTCCACAGAAACTCATAAAGAGAGGAACTCCATGCCATTTACCAAACACTGGTAGCAGAGCACAACATTTGGATATATCAAACACTATATTGTTCACATAGTATTAGGGAAACTCAGAAAACTACATTGTTTTCTTCATTAACTCTGAAAATATAAATGCACTGTAATTATTTACTGTGATCATTATTCACCACTTTCCTCTCCTGAAAGTGCATGAACATAGTACTGAAGTGGCAGTAGTTCTCCAGCTACACTACCTTGTTTCCTGCTAATTCTGGCCTCATCACTCTGGAAAAGGCAGAACACAAAATAGGGTTCTCTTAAATAAGCAAAAAAATATTTAGCACTCCTTTTGGCTGCACATTCCTATCAAGGTAACTGTCAATTTTACAGATATACTCTAAATCAGCTGCAGAAAGGGGTGCTAATATTTTACCTTAAAATATCTGGCACATAAAGATGAATCCCAAAGCCCTGTTTTAGCCACAAACAAAAAGATCTGACGTTCAGAAGTGTTTTATATTGAGCAGTTCCTATAGAATTGACAAGCAGTGAGCATGTGGCAGTTTGAGAAGTCAGTCATCTACTAAGAAAATTGAAAATAGGGTTCACAGCAACTAAAGATACCTGGTTTAAAGTTAAACCTGTGTTCACATAGCTGCAGTTGAACTTTACCAGAAATACTACATTTCTTCTGTTTTTCAGCTTTCCAGCAAAGATTTTATAACTCTCAGAGGGGAAGAGGTGGGGATAAAAAAGAGTATCGTTCTAAAAGAGCAATTAAGTGAGAAAAGCATACAAAGCTTGGCTTGGAAATGGGGTAGTTAAAAGGATACAGAAGAGGGACATGACCACAGTCTGCAAATATCTGAAGGATGTGAAAATCAGAGAAGTGAAAATGTGGTATCATACATGAGGGATTAATTAGAAGTAATTGAAGGAACCTAAGGAAGGAAAATATATTGTCTGTGTCAAGACAAACTTAGAGATCACAGTCACCCCTAACATTTTTGTAATTTTGCCAGGGTAACTAGAAGCTGTTTTGACAACATCATCACAGGAAATACTTTGGGAATTCAGGGTTAAAGACTACGTCAAGAATCTGAAGAACAACCATTAAGTAAAAAATTAGAACTCTCTCTGGAGAGGAGATGGAGACGCTGTTCAGGTGTTTCACAAAGTAGACTAAAGCCTGAATTGCCCTGGAGGGAAAAAGATTAGGCAAGAGAACAAGTCTGCTCCATGTCAGAGCTGACTCCGAGCATAATGCATCCATCCAGAGCTCTCCACTTTCACAGTGTGGACTGTCAAACTCCACAGATAAATTCAATAGCTTGCTTGGGAAAGGTAGTAACTATTAAAGCTCCCAGAGTACCCAGTTATATGATGATGCTTATTTCCACATTCCTCTTTCTGTCCTGTAACACTATGACATACCTCCTCTCCCAGTTCCCAAATGGCACTTGCTTAGTGCACTAGTGTAGAGCAATAAGGCTGGGCACAAATATACCCCAAATCCACAATCAAACTACCAGATACCTCAGAACAGCTGACATTTCTGAGGAGCTTGTAAATATATTTTATAGACCAACTAACTTAAAACATCTATACAATTACTTCCTTCCAAGTTTGTGAATGTCAAATGGAAACAAGTGTCTAGAGGGCTTGGGGGGAAAAAATCTCAAGCCAATGGAGATTTTTAAGCCACTTAAAGAAGAGGAAAATTGCATGAAAATCTGGTGGAAAAGAAGGGGAAAAAAAGAAAAAAAAACTCGTATGGCAGGCTGATTCCTTCTTGCAGAAAGCATTTTGTATTTGCTATACTCACTTTCTCCACATGGACACAAAGGAGTGCACAGAGACACGTCCTGTCCTCTCTCCCCCAGATGCACTGAACAGAGGTGCTTTCCAGTAGAGTGGGCAGCCACAGATCTGTAAGGAAAAAGCAGGGCAAGGAGGAATACAAGAACAGTCCCAAGAGGAACCTGCTCATTTACACACCAGACTCACCACTGAGACTTTACACATGTGAAATAGAGTAGTAATGGCTTTCTGACCCACCTATGTGCCATTTATTGCATGCCAAGGTTGAAAACTCACACACAGCTTTCTACTTTGTCATGTGCCTTTTCAAGTGGCTGAGAAACACTCCTCTCAGGCTAGGAAAAGGATCTGGACTACTCAAGCTCTGAACAGTTTAGCACAATTCCCTAGGAAGTGGAATGGAGAGACAGGCACTTCCTTCCAGAAGGACACTCACACCAGCTATGTCCCCCACCCACCCTAAAAGAGGAGGGCCTATTCTCCTATGGGATAACCTGTCACAGGCAGCAAGGGAACCTCAAGTCTAATTACAGACCATTAATGAGTAAATGCCTAAAGGTAAAGTAAATCCCACCATGCAATTTTCAGTGCAGTGCCTGCCACCCAGCACAGTCCATTATTTCCAATACTGCAAGATCACAGCAGGGGAACACAAAAATGAAAGCACACATGGGAAGGATTTCTTCCAGCCAAAGGCCTCCCTGACCAGCACTTTTGAACCAGCCTCTGCAGAAGCTGCTGGCTCTCAATAGCAGTCCATGAAAGCTTGGAGAAAGCATAATTGCTCAGTTTACAGTGCCAAAGACTCATTCAGGGCAAGCTGATCATCTAGGATGTGTCTGATAAATGCTGGTTTTAGATCAGCAGCACTGTGAACTGCAGCTGAGGGAGAGGGAAAGAGAAGGGACCATCTCGTGTGCTCCCACACAAGTGCTGTGTGCTGTCCCCTGAAGGCAGAACTCATCACCAGCTACCACCTGCCCTGTGGGTACTGAACGTGCCCAGCTCAGGGGCTGAGGGCTCACTGGACATTTCCCCTTCCACATCCTGGGAGCTGGAAGGTGGAAGCTGCTTCCTCACACAACACTGTAATAGCGCCTACAGCTCATGCTAGCTGAGCAGGACAGCTACAAAAAGCCACAAAAAGGGCAGCTGATACTACCTGAAACCACAGAAGCCAACAAATTTTTGCCTCTAAGTTTCTCAATCTTCTGGGCAGAAATATGAAGAAATGGAGAAACAAAAATGCAATTTGTATTTGCTAAGTAATCTTAGAGAACTGCTTCATAAATCAAAGCACGAACAAACACATATCTGATGTGACAATCAGCAAACGGAACTCATTTTTGTTTACTATTATTTAAATCTAAACAAAAAACTTCAGATCAAAAGGAAACTGGTTCTTTTTTCCACTACAACAGCTGTGAGACAGACTGAGACTACAACAAAGTATCTCTCCCAAAATTAAAAACCTAAAGAATAGATTCACAGAATCATTAAGGTTGGAAAAGACCTCCAAGACCATTAGTGGCTACCTTAGCAATTTTCCCCATTTCACAGATGTTTGCTTTCCCATCTTCAAACTCTGTAAAGGCCTCTTCAATCCTGGCAATAATTTCTTCATGGTTAGTGCAGACATTTGGGAGTCCTTTAGGGAAGTAGAAACGTGGAATGTTTATGGGCACAGGGGTACTGCTGGTGGCTTTATTCACAGGCAGAGGAGTGCAAGTGCTAACCACAGGCTGCAGGGGGGCTGGGGATGAAGTTCCTGCCTTCTTCTCTTGTTTGCTTTGAACCTGAAAATACAATAAATAACAAACACATTTTAACATCATGGTACATGGAGCAGAAAAAAATAGTTTGTGCTTCCAGTGATTAGGAGGAAAATTAAAGTCCACCAACAATTAAATTATCGCACAGGAATAAAAATGCATCTTAAATAGACAATTAAAATTTTCTGTAGTATTAACCAGTGCAATTTTAGGATGTTACACCTGCTTTTATGCTATTTCTAAGCATTTTACATATGTAGCTGTGGCTCATGATTTCCTATTGAGTCACTCTGCAACTCAGTGAAACCACAGATAAGGACAATGCTATTTCCTCTCATGCTGGACTTAGTCTTGTCATTCTGCCCCATGAACAACAAAGTATCTGCTCTTCAGTATTTCCCCTCTGAACCAGAGCACCCACCCACACAAACAGCTTGCCTAAAGTATGAGCAAGGCTACATTCAAACAAGGATATTTTCCATCCATGGGGAGTATAATTAGCTTGCCAAAGCGCTGCTTCAGAGATAAATTAAGAAAATATTTTCAGGACTTCCTTCTCAACTTCAACTAGCCTTTTATTTTGTGCCCAACTTAAACAGTCCCAGACCTGATTTTATGAAAGGTACTGAGCACTGGTAAATCAATTTTTTTCATCAGGAATTAGGAGCAGCCAGCAGAGTGTCATTAGGCATTCACATGATGTCTTTTCCTCACTCCTCTCCTAGCTGTAACAAACATATGGCTGATATGATGGTCCCCACTGGATCCCCTCCCCAGTGGATCTCCAGTTCTAGCTCTACATCACAGTCAACATTTGTATTTAAGTTCACAATGAGACCCTAAACCAGGGAATTTTTCAGACATGGGAGGGAACTTTTTTAAACTTTGATAAGTAACTACAGTATAAGCTGCAAAATCAGCTGCTGGAATGTGGAAGGATGAGGAATTCCCTGCTCCCCCAGGGAGACACTCCTTCCTGGGAAAAGGCAGCAGGCTTTCCCACTGCACAATGGTTCCAATGCAAGAGTTTTATTACTATAACAACATATGTGATAAGGCATAGAAGGCAACAGTCAAGTAAATACAGCTGTGACTTTCAGTTTGTTTATTCTAACTGTTTCAAAACAAAATGGTTTCAGGATAAAGCAGCCAAGTCTGAGTCCACTAAATGCAGAAGAATGTATATGATGAACTGACTTTACTTCATTATTTTCTTTAAAATTGGAGCTTTTTTCTTAACACATACTGAAACTCCCAACTAGCCAAAGATTTGCTTGCAATGAGGTAAAGGAGTGAGAAGTGTAAAGGCTTCTTTAAGCACTACTTTTACCTGGAGTTTATAATACTTTATAACCCATTCATCAGAGACCCATCAAAGAAGAGAGCGAAGGCTTTTCCACCTCTTCACTTCTCTGCTTCATGGCCCTTTCTTTAAATGGGAGGACCTCTTTCTTCTCCCAAATGCTGTCCCCATTTCAGTAGCAGGAACACCAATACACACAATCCCCACCAGCCAGAACAAACTTGTCCTTAATTGCTCTGTACATTAAACCTGGAGCTTGGAGTACTTCAAGATGTCTTCTCCTCTGTCTTGCTACACAGGAAAAGCTGGAGATCATTTTCAGTCTTCAATATTTCTAACAATACCAGTATTCAGAGTTTGAACAGCTCTTAACCTTTGGAGAGCCAGCCTGATCACCAACACCTGTTCTCCCTCATGCCATCCTTGAGTGTTCCTCCTCAGACACTGCACATCTTTGTGTCTGCTCCTGAGTGATGCTGGAGCTCAGAGGGGACCAGGAGCTCCTGGGCTCCTGAGGGCTGGAGGATGGTGAGCATCAGCCCTGGTCATTCGTCCCACATTAGGACAATGCAGGTGATCTGAGGTGGTGGCAGAGGTGAAGGTGGGGAGACCTGGGCACTCACTTTGGGAGCACAGCTCACTGGCTTAAATAAAAGACAACCCTTCTCCCAGCTTCCTCCTGCCCTTTTTCCTCAGCAGAGCAGCAAAAGCAAAGCCCAGACCAAGTGAATGTGTGTGGGGAGGGAGCACCTGGCCCCAGCTCAGGGATAACACAAATCACCACTTCTGCTTCTACCATCTGCTCTCACCCTGCCTGCCCTGCCCTGCCAGGGGCTTCTCCAGCCAGGACCCAGCTCTGCTCAGGAGTTTTCCCTTTCTGGATCCCAGCAGAGGGGAAGTTCCTGCCAGTCTCTCACAGCACCATATTCATACAAACAATGCAAAGCTGGAACAGATCTCGAGGTGCCAACTGCAGCCACTTGACTTCTATAATAGGACTTCACATCAGTTTACTCGAGGTCACTTCTCACAAACAGGTTTATTGCTCCCTTAATCTCTTCAGGATACACTGGCACTCCCGGCTGCCAGCGCTGGGAGGAACTAAGAGAAATTACTCAAACGTAACAAAAAGTTCCACAAACCAAGACGTTCTTTCAAAAGACACTGACTCTTCACTGTAACAATACATCCCCTTCCCTTACAGTACAAGGGAATGATTAAATTGTATTTTTGTTTTCTTAGAAGGTGAAGAGAAGTCCTCAAGTAGAGAGCAACAGCACTGGGCCATTTTTGAACTTTGTCTTCTTCCTTCTTATGTAAGAAATGAGCTGCTTATGACACAAAGAGAAAAAAAAAAAGTAGCAACTAGTCCTTGAAGATTTTGATCCCTAGAACAAACTTACAAATTAATACTCTGGGATGGGTATAACCAAATGCAAACCACTATGGGGACAAGAAGAAGTTAATTACAACTTTTTGTGAAAAAAAATTAAGAAAGTGGTATGACGGGAAATTCTGTGGAAATTCCTTGGAAATAAACAGTTTCTTATTGCAAAAAGCCTTAAATGCTGTTTGCCTAGCAGGACACACTACTCCAACAGGGATGTGCATTTTCAGAGAGGACAACTAAGAAAGGAAATGACAAATACTCTAATAAATCTCTCAGCTTTGTTACAATAATTAACAGATAAGCTTTTTTTCCTTTCTTTTCTCAAGAGAAAGGTGAGATTAAAGGCCATTTTTAAATACCACTCCGTAGCATTCTATAATTCACTCTAACTAAAATCTGTCTCTCCACTATATCACCTTTTGCCAGCCATACAATTTTATTTACGGACAGACAAAAATAGTGACATCTGTGTTATAAATAAACCAGACAGAACTACAGCCTCATTGTAGCTACACAAACAAAGCACAGACTAAACCTCTGCCATCCCAGCCTGTCTCCCAGGGATGTGCCAGTCCCAGCAGAAAACTCCATGGAAGGAAGCAGTATCACAGAAAGTACTCAAGTTCTTTCTACTCCTTCCTCCTGGTCCCAGGCTCCAACAGGGTCCTAGATAATATATTTACCAGTTTTTTGCTTTATTTCCAAACGGGATAGTGTAATCCTCTTTTCTAGGGTACAGTGACTCAGCCTGGGTTCTCGCAGTCCACAATGCTGACTTAATGTCTCCTTTCATTTTTCATAGTTCCTGCCTTCCTGAAGTCTGATGGTACCTGGACAGAAGCCATCCTCAGAGCTCATTAGCTCTCTAGCACTGGTTTGTATCTCTCACCCGAGACTTTCTCTTCCTTTCCCTCCCTTAAGCCCTTTCCCATCAATGAACCTTCCTGCTGCCTATTTCTTACCTATTTCCAAGGACAGCAAGAACAAAGGCTCATCTGCACATGGCTCCAAACATCAGAGAGCTATGAGAAAACATTTCTGGAGAGAATATTTTCTTCCAGGAAACAAACTCCAATCACAGCAAAACAAAAATGAAAACAAACTTTACCTAAGCAACTCAGAAACCTAAAAGGATTTAGGTGGGAGTAGACACAGCACTAATTGTAAGGTTGGGTCAAGTTCCTCATGGCTTTCCCCAGTCAAGTTTTGCAAACAGAGGCATCACACACCTCCACTGCCAAGTGTGCCTATAGACCTTGGACACGGCCCTCAGCACCAGTCCAGGCTGAGAACACAATGGCTGAACAACAGCCCTGCAGAACAGGGCTGAGCACGAGCCTGCAGCGAGGGCTGATTACAAATAAGGCCAGTCATGTCCTGGACTGCCTTAGGAGTAAGGCCAGGAAGTTTTTATCTCTGACACTAATGAGGCTGCATCCGGGTTCCTAGGACCAGTTTTGGGCCTTCACTTCAAAACAGAGATGGGAAGAGACCAGCCAGAGACATGAAGGAGGGAAATCAGAAGGCTGTGATGAGGGTCAGGCAGCAGGAGACACTGAGGGCTGGCCCTGACTAGCTAGGGGAAGGGGAAGCCAAGGGATGGGCTAAATACAGCCTGCAGCTCTTGGAGGTGCAGTTACAGTGACAATGGAACCAAAGTGCAGCTTGGGAGCCTTAGGCTGGAGGACACTGAGGGAAGTACAGCTTTTGTGAGAGGTCACCAAGAAGGGCTGGGTGAATCCCTGTCCTTCAGGAAAGCCAGTGCTGATGTGACCCAATGTTAGAAACAGTATTCCTATAAGTGAGATGTTGGGCTAGAGACCTCCCTTCCCCCCAACACTGCTATGGGAGGCTCTCTGATCCTTCTATAAATAGCTCTGCAAAAGATAAGCACAAGAACTGAAATTTCCAGCCCTTGAGATAGAAGTTTACCTTCTTCCCCACTTTCCTGGTCAACATCTGTGTGTTCCACAAAGCAAAGAAGTCTTCATTCACCTCTCTGCTCCCTGTCACCACCTTATCACCTTTCCACCTGCCAGCACTTTTGTTTTCTTACTGGGCCTAGTTATCTCTATTTGGAGCTCATTCCAAGCCCCAAGGTATAGCCCATCCCACAAGGCACAAAATTTAATTACACCTCACTGCTGCCACGTGGGAGAACTCCTATCCCTACCCTCCACCTCCAGAGGTCCACTGTCACTCTGGGAACTGATTTAACCCACGTGGAAAGGCAGCAAACAGACTTGGCTTTGTTGCGGGATGATATTCAACTGCGTTATGAATTATGGCAGCTCACAGAAAGACCTGTGGGGCCCAGGACAAGAGAAGGCT